TCCTGGGGTCAACACCCTGAGGGTGCTCTAGACACCTCCATGTCTAGAGCAGCAGGCCCATTAAGGCTCTGAGATGGTGGGAGGCTGGAGGTCCCTGGGACTGGAGATGGAACTACCAGAGTTTCTCTCTGGGCTCCTTTTCCCTTGTATCCATCACTAAACCCACCGTCATAGGACTGTGATGGGGATGGGGCAAACATTTTCTACCTCCTCAGAATTAGTGATTAGGGCCCAAGATAAAGAAAACAGAGATGCTAAGTATCCCATATTGTAAAGAACAACAGTTAGGGCCTTGATACCCTCTGCTAAGAGAGCATGACACTTGAAATAGCTCTGGAACTAACCACCCTTCCCCAGCCTAATCTATAAAAGGAGGATGGGGGAGAGAGTGGAAAGAGATAGATATGAAATACTGGGTTGCCTCCTTTCCTCCTTGAAGGTGAAAAAGCAAGGAGGCTCTGAGAGAACTGTTCGTGCGGGTGTAAGCTGGCTGTTGGTCTGACATCTCTTTTCCCGATTAGACATCTGTGATGCAGGCAACTTGCTGATCAGGCTCCAGACTCTACCTAGTGAAGCAGGGAGGGGAGAACTGGGAGAGATATAGAGAGGAGGCGATGAGGATCAACCTGCACTCCCACCAACTGCTACGGCAAGGCTGTGTGAGTTTCCCACGGGGGAATGGGCTCCCCAGAAGGGAGCCAGGTGTGAGCTGTAATTCAGGCCTGAAACCCAAGGCAAGGTCCTCGGAGCAAAGTGGACATGGCATTGTGCATTGGTGTGTGGAAGTGTGGAAAAGGTCAAGCCAGAACTGGACTTCCCACACACAGGCCCTGTGTATGGGGTCGCAGGGGACGGGGGGTGCCCACCCAGACCCGGCATGGGCCCCACAATATCCCATACGGTATTTGAGCATCTGCCACCCAGAGGGCAAGCAGCACCAACCTGAGAAGCTGCCACACTGAGCAGAAAGGGGAACAACTCTTGTCTGTTAACAGACCCCCCTTGGACTCCCCGGCAGCCCAGTGGTTAGGATTTCATCTTCCAATGCAGGGGCTGCGGGTTGGACCCCTGGATAGGAAGCTCAGATCCCACATGCCTCAGGGCCAAAAAGCCCCCAAAACATAAAACAGAAGAAATATTGTAACAAATTCAATCAAGTCTTTTAAAAAATGGTCCACATCAAAAATACCTTTAAAAAAAAAAAAAAAACAGAGACACTCATGGCTTTCCTTTCCTTCCTTCCTTTCCCATCATCTTGGGAGAGCTGCTTCAGGATAAAGTAGAGGAAGAAATGTCTCAGAGACTGACTGAAGCCCCACTGCTCTTCTCTTCCAAGCCGCTGGGCTGCCAGTTCACCATTGGGCACCCCAGTATTCTTGGGCTTCCCCTGGGGCTTGGTTGGAAAAGAACCCGCCTGCAATGCAGGAGACCTGGGTTCGATCCCTGGGTTGGGAAGATCCCCCGGAGAAGCGAAAGGCTCCCCACTCCAGTATTCTGGCCTGGAGAAGTCCATGGGGTCAAAAAGAGTCAGACATGACTGAGCAACTTTCATAGACAGACAGACAGACAGGGGAGGAGGAGCTAAACCAAGCTGGAGACTGAAGCTTTGTCATTGGACAGAACTGAGCTGGCAAATAACTGAAGTCATCAAGAAGGTATGGGAACTGCCTGAGCTGTCATAAGGAAAAGGAGTACGTCAAGGCTGTATGTTGTCACCCTGCTTATTTAACTTCTATGCAGGGTACATTATGATAAATGCTGGGCTCGAGGCAGCACAAGCTGGAATCAAGACTGCCGGGAGAAGTATCAATAACCTCAGATATGCAGATGACACCAACTCAATGGACATGAGTTTGGGTAAACTCCGGGAGTTGGTGATGGACAGGGAGGCCTGGCGTGCCAGGGTCCATGGAGTCGCAAAGAGCTGGACATGACTGAGCGACTGAACTGAACTGAACCCTGAGGAAAGAAGATGCAGTGGAGCACAGCTGAGAGCCAGGGTGGCAGAGGGGAGATGTCATATTTGTACCCCCAGGGTGCTGCAATTACTCAGCTGCTTTCACGCAGAGTCACTTGCTGCCTCTCCAAGTTCTCCAGCACTGGGGCATGGCTAGTTACTTGAGACCTAGCCCACCCCCACCCCTCCCCTCCCCAGGGTGGGGCATGGTAGCTCATGGGGAGAGAAGGTGCATTTATCCTCTGTTTACCCACAACAGAGAGAATGATCATTTCCCTAATGATCATTCCCTTTATGTCAGAAGTCACTGACATAAAATGCGCTGTGGAAACTGTGAAAAGCAAGTCTTTTTATTCTTGGACAATGTAAAAATTTTGATTTTTTTCCCATCAATATGGAAAATACAAAGATAATCTATGTTGTGACAGTCAGCAGAGTTTTCCACCAAATACTAATTCTACTTCTGTTAACAGATCCCCTTGGTCTCCCCAGCAGTCTAGTGGTTAGGGCTTTACCTTCCAATGCTGGGATGCGAGGTGGACCCCTGGTTGGGGACCTAAGGTCTCACATTACTAATTCTACTTCTGGGCACTTGCCAGCTGCCCTTGAGCTAGATGGGACGATGTCATTTGTCGTAGTCATTGAGATGCGAACAAAGTGACATGGCACTTCCAGATAGAAGCTTTAAGAACCAGGGTACAATGTAGCATGTTCTTTTTTTTGCCTTCACAATCAGGGAGAGTGCAGCCTCCCTCAACTTGGGGCCCTGATGACAAGAAGCACCCCTTGCTGACGAGTGATGGATGTTCCAGGAGGGAGACGAAAACCTTTGTGACTTAAGTGCGTAGTGTGCAGGATGTGTGTAACTGCATCTTATCCCAGTCTCTCCTGATTCTTGTGAGTAATTCACCAACATGCCCAGCATCCAGTGAAGACACCACATCCAAGCAGTCAATGGCCCTCCACCGCCAAGCGTGTGGATGACCAGGGTTAGTGTATGTGTCACATACAGGATGGCAGACCATTAGCTACTGTCAAAACTTTGGTCAGGAAGACCCCAGGCAACAGGACCTTCACAGAGCAGCTACGGGAAGAAGGGGAGCAATGCACACAGTGGGAAGGATGAGGTTACCCTGATAAGGTGTTGGCACAGAAGAGTATAAGGAATGGGTCAGATTTGACAAGAAATGACAAGAGATACCTGTGTCACACACCTGACAGGCATATAATCAAGGTCATGCCCCTTCCTTGTTTAATTCATGAAAGTCACACAAAGGGGCATAGTGATCCAGGCCACAAGAATGAGGGCTTGGTTTGGTATCACTGTGTGAAAAAGGTCAAGTTTTGCCTGTCACCCCTGTAAGACTGGGGTGGGGTGGGGGGGGGGAGTCAAATGCCACAGACCAGAAGAGACCAGAGCTTCCAAGAAGCTCTTCAATGTCCTTGGTGGGCACACCTAATGGACTTGTGGGTCATTCAGAAACCTGGGAATAAGTGGTCAGATGAGCAGACAGACTCTCTCTGGTTTTTTTTTTTCCTACCAGCAGTCTGGTACTGCCAGATTCCCAGACTCCTGGGGAAACCAGGGATGAGTACCAGCCTGGAGACCCCTCTTAGAGTATCTGAGGGACCCCAGCAGCAGTCATCTCTTGACATCCAGCTGATCATGTCCCTGGTCTTCCCCTCCCCACAAAGGCTAAGCATGACTCAGGAGCCTTTGGGTGAAGGAATTAACAGGATGGGTCTACAGTTCCCTTTTCCTTGACTGCCATTAGGAATGGCCCACTCATCTTTGGAGAAAGCAGAGGAAGGCTAAACAGGGCTGCAGAGTCAACCCCAAGTCTCCCAGTGAGGTCTTGCATGGGCAAACACCTACCTTATTTCTCTTCCCCAATCCCTAAAGCCCATAATAGGCATCTTCAAATTAGTGGTTTTTTAGTAAGACTCTAAACTATGCAGAGAAAAAATAATATGCACTCACAGCTGAATACAACCACACAGAATGAAGGAAGGAGAAGGCTGCTATTCTAGTGCCTGAAGGAAGGCAGCCCTCAGTGGGCAGAGCTCCAGGCCCGGAGGGGAAGACCTGAGGGTGATGCCTGGCTCTGCCTTTCCCAGCCTGGTGCAACCCAACAAGTCACTGAGCTTCTGAGCCTGTGACCACACCTGTGAGATGCGGATAATGACACCTGGGGCGCTGGGCTGGAGTTTTAGTTCAGGGCCTGTGGACACAGCAGCTCACTGTCAGCACTGGAGGAGGGAAACCTGCCGGACCCCATCTGAAGGCTGAGAGCCTTTCCCAGGAACACTTAGCTAAAGAAAGGGCTGGGGGCAGAGTCATTTTCAAGGGCACTGTATTCTGTTTACCTGCAAAGGGTTAGGGGACAGAGGTGGCAGAAGGAAGTTCTCAGAGGCGGGAGAGGAAGCCACTTCTGGACACAGCTGCTTGTGCAGAGAGGGAGGCAAAGGGGAAAGATGTCTGTAGCACCAGAAACAATCTGGAGCCTCATCTCTGCCGCAGCGTCCACGCTGAAGGCCTCCAGCGACATAAGCCAGACCAGCAGCCCTGACCTGAACACGTGCCCCAGAAAACGAGGGCACAGACGGCGTGAGCCCCACGGGGACCTGCTCCCTGTTGACAGCTGCTTCCCAGCCTGGGGTCTTGTGCTCAGGATCATGGCCAACATGCCCACTCCCATCAGCCTGAGCCATGGAACAGCTCCCCCAGCCCTGCCCACAAAGCACCACCAGCAATATCCCCTACCTTCCAGTGATGGCTTGTGGGGCTAGCTGCATAGGTGCAGGTCAGAAGAAGTGTTACAAACAGGGTCCCAGCACTGTAGGCAAGGGCCCAGGGGATCATGGTCTTCCCTGCAAGCGTGGCACCACCCATGGCCACTTCTGGTTCCCTTTTTGGTCTAGCACCTCAGCCTTCCTAAGATCAGAGTGGAGGGCACCCCGGGCCACAGTAAACAACTAAACCGTTAAGGAAATGAACGCTTTCCATCAAAGGAAGCCACCCAAAGAAAGAGGCAACCGCCACCAAGGTTTAAGCATTTTTTATTTTTTATAAAACAAGCTACAAACGGTCTCCCTCCCTCCTCACAAAGGAAAACCACACAACTCTGCCTCTACACGTGTGTGAGAGAGAAGATGTCCCGGGGAGATTCCAACTTTCTTCACGGAGGCGCTTCCTTCAGGGCAGGGGAGGAGGCTGAGGTCTCCCGGAAAGTCCACCCAGCCAGCACACCGGGCTTTCTGGTCCAGACTGATGGGCCAGGGCTCTTTGTTCCATCCTACCATGTTGGGATGGGGTCTCCAGTCACCCTGACACAACCTCTGGGACTTTTCGCCAGGACAGCAAGAACCTTCTCCAGTCAGAGGATGGGATACTGGGATGGGATAGGAGATGCACAGAGATGCAGCCAGATTTCCAAAAATAATCCACAAAGGCGCCAGCCCTGGAAAACTGCCCACCCTCCCTCCCTCCCTGCTGCTCTGGATGCTCATGGGAAGGAGGGCTCAGAGTCACCTGTCACCCTTTGTGGGATGACTGTCAGATGGGCATGCCTCCCGCCCCCCGGGGCAAGAGGAAGCTGGGGTACGACTCTAAGGCTGGGCAGTCCATGTTGGAGTCACAGTAAAACGCCTGTGGGAAGCTAGGCCTGGATTTCCCCATGGCTGGGCCATTCCGTCTCACTTCCAAGGGAGGCAGAAGTAACAGGCCCAAGATGAATTTGGCCCTGGAACTGGCCTCAAGCCTGGAAGCCCGTAAGAGCATTTAGGAAAACAGGAAGAACCTCGGTACTGAGTTTAAAAAAAATAGAAAAGGTTGAGTGACCAACAAGGTGATGGACACAACTCTTCCCTCAGGCTTACGCTGACCAGAAGACAGGAGGGGAGAAAGAGGACTGCAGAAGTAGCTGCCTAGTCTGACCTTAGCATTGGGCGCTGTCTCAGGAAGCCTCCTTCATGGGTGGGCGAGAGGTGAGAAGCCTTGAGTGGGCACCATCCTCACCAGGACAGGCCTTCTGTCCTTCTCCCTCCACTGCTCAGATATTAAATTTAACTACTAAATAAAAGGCCCACAGGGTGTCTTTTTCTTCTCTGCCTCTCCTCTCCTGTTTTACATGGAGTAGATGCTAAATGTGACTGGAAATGTTTCAAGACGACCCTAACGCACATCCTTTGAGGGCTGTATGTTCAGCGGGCGCCAATGGCACTGTGCACCCACTGAGTCTGGGCCACCTGGGGGTCTGGATGGCCTGACCACATGGGCACTGGAGGATGGGGACCCCTGAGGGCTACGGGCCTCCCTCCAGGGGCCACTCCCATTGACCTGCAATGTCCACTCCCTCCCTTGAGAAGGTCAACCGCCAAGTGACTTGTGGCTCTGACAGCCACGGCAGAAGGTGGCCCCAAAGATACCCACGGAGTCTGCACTGTGATCACAATGGAATCCAGGCTGGCCAGGGATGGAGTCCTGGGTTCTAGAGAGCAGGGCTGTGTGTCCGGAACCCTCACAGCTCAGAGCGGGGAGAGGGAGGGGAATAAACAGACAGCAATGCCAACACCTGTACAAAAGAACTATACAATTTACATATATATTTATATACAGTACATAAATCTCTTTCTTCTCAGTCCCAGCAAGCCCCCCGCCCTCCAAACCCTAAAAGTTGTCAGTAGCAGATCCAAAAACTTAACAATAAAAGAGAATAAACAGTCTCTCTTCCCTTTCCTTTTCCCACTGCGGTATTAGATACTGGTGTTTAAAAATGAAACCGAAAAAGAAAACACACAAATAAGAGTTATTAAAAGTGCAAACACGATGGGCACCACTTATGTTACATGGGATGTGGCTGGGCCGTGGGCAACGTCGAAGGTTAGCTGTCTGATGATCCATCCTGCCTCCCTGGTCTCTCCACCTGCCCTTTGGTTTTCCGCTCCTTAGACGAGGCGTCCTACTGAGAAGGGGAGGAATAAGCAAGAAATAACAGCTGGGTTTAAGAGAACTCTGGGCTTCCCTGGTGGCTTAGATGGTAAAGACTCTGCCGGCAATGCAGGAAACTCGAGTTCAATCCCTAAGTCTGGAAGATCCCCTGGAGAAGGAAATGGCAATCCACTCCAGTATTCTTGCCTGGAAAATCCCACAGAAGGAGGAACCTGGCGGGCTACAGTCCCTGCAGTCACAGAGAGTCGGACACGACTGAGCAACTAAAATACTTTTGTGAGGACTCCAAACACAGATATCCATTTCATCACTCGAGTGGGTTTTCTGTTCAGGGTTAGACGCCATCCTCCGGCAAGTCAATGGGAGAGCTGCTGGGTTTTTTCAATGGAAGGACTTGTCTCCAGCCTCAGGGGGTGATGACAATAATCCTGATGACTGCGCTTCATAAACTGGGAAGGACCAGTTAAGAAAGAGACCCAGTCCTCAGAACACTGTGCTGGGAAGTCAGCTCCCCCAGTGAGGAGTCTGGTTGGTGAAAATGCCTGTGTTCATGGGGCATTTCCCAAAATTCAGTCCCTCTGACCCAAAGCTACATTCACCCCCAAACTCTGTCCTCTCCACCTGACTTCTGCCCCCCACTAGGTGTGCAAGCCCCTCTCAGCCCACCAGAGGGCACCGCACGACACCAGATGACCACCGTCTGCTTCAGGCGCTGCATACCATCTACCCAGGTGGGTTTTCTGTGGCTCCTGAAGCACAGAGACCCAGCAAAGCTGCCGGCAGCCCAGGGCTGTGTTGCTGTGTGCTGCGCTATACTGTGTCGCTTCAGTCATGTCTGACTCTTTGCAACCCTATGGACTATAACCCACCAGGCTCCTCTGCCCATGGGATTCTCCAGGCAAGAATACTGGAGGTGGTTGCCATTTCCTCCTCCAGGGGATCTTCCTAACTCAGTGATCAAACCTGGGTCTCTTACGTCTCTTGCATTGGCAGGTGAGTTCTTTACCACTGGTGCCTCTTGTGTTCCTCAACCACTTCTCTCATTTCTTTTCTGCATTCACCACAAACCAGGCACCAGCTTGTTAAATCTTCGCACCAAGTGAGGCAGACGCTATCATACCCATTTTGCAGATGAGGAAATTGAGGCTCAGAGACTTTGGGTAGCTTGCTAAAGATTACAGAGCTGGGAAGTGCCAGGGCTGCCTGCTTCCTTTGGGTCCTGTGCAGCTGGTGCCTGGCAAAGCTTCAGAGGACAGCCCGGAGGCCTCCGTGAACTGGGTGGACCTGAGGTCAGCACACCAGCCTCCGCCTGGCTGCTGTGTGCTGTGTGGACCTTAACTACCAGCATGAGAAGCGGACCAAAGGCAATGCGCCAATGGAGCTCTGTGAATCCGAACCTGCTGAGCCCAGAAGTGCTCCAGGTGGGCCTGGGGGTCAATGCAAACACTGGGTAGTCTCCAATACTGGCCCCCAGCTTGTGCTCTGAGAAATGGGCACAGATTCTGAGTGTGCCAAAGCGTAAAGTCACCACACAGGACAGTCCCTCTTCCAGCCCTTCATCATGTGACCAGGATCTAAGGCACTGTGCCTGAGGTTAGGAATTGAGGACAGGGGCATGATGGTAGGGGAGAACCGGGAGCGTGGACAGCATGCAGTGTGATCAGTGCTTCTGACAGCTGCAAGGGTCTCATGAAGACTAGTGTTATCTATCAAACCTTCACGGAGGTCCCTCAATGCCTCAACCACTTCGACAACTGCTTTGACTCGCTGTCTCCGTGTGTCGGCACAATGGCCCTGTGAGGTGGATACTATGGTTATTTCCACCTTACAGATGAAGAAACGGAAGTCTGCGATGGTTGAGTAGTTTGTACTTGGATGAAAAGAGCTGGTCTGTGGCTGAAGCAGGGTTTGACCCATGACACTGCACCATGTCTTTGGGACTAAAAGCCGTGGGGTCACAGAGAGGCATCCTCATCAGACAGGACTGCCTAGAGGAGCTGAAGGATGTCAGGGTGACTGAGATGCATGTTTAGAGATGGAAGGAGAGGGGAGGAAGCAGGAGGTAAGGTAAGAGAGTTTAAACTATATAAGGGCAAAGGGAAGTTGTTGAAGGGATTCAATCAGAGAAACGATAGCATCAGTTTTGGTAAAAAAAAAAGAATTCTTCTGGGGCAGTGTGGGAAATGGATTGGGGATGAGCATCACTCACCCAGGGTCACACCTCCCAGAGTCAGGGCCACGTACCTCAGCCACCTCCCCAGCTACCTTTTGGGTTTACCCTGTCAACCAAGGGTTAGAACAAGGAAAAGCCCTTATGTCTCCTTCAAGGCATTTCTCGGCACCAAACAACTTAGAATTACCCAAATTGTTACCATCAGCCCAGACCCTTCACCTACACTATGACTCTCTAATTTTTGGGGTGCAACCAACCTGACAGGTCCAAGTCATGTCTGTTATCTTCCCCACTCGCAGGCCTGCTCTGCTCTTCCTGCCATGTTGCCCATCTCAGTGAATGGACCGCCCCCCAGTTGCCCACACCAACCTTCATCCCTCTCTGCACTCAATCACCAAGCCCTGAAGTTCTACCTAGTCACCTCCACCCAGTACTCTGCAACCCTACTTGGTTTTCCCTAACTCAGGCCTCCATCATCTCCTGCCTGGTCGGTGCTCCAGCCTCCTACTGGGTCTCTGCCCTCACTCATCCTCCGATCCATTTCCCACACTGCACTAGAAGAATTTTTTTTTTAATCAAAAAGTTCTTCTGTGAAGAACTAGATTCAATCATTTTAGCTTTGTGGACCACGGACAATATACAACAGTCTTGGTTACATAGTCTTCTTTTTTGAAAATTACATCCTTTTAAAAATANTCCAAACAGAAGTAGGCACCTTAGGTATATTCCCACAATACTCTGCACTTGCTGAACTGTATAGAGGCCATCAGGTGTCCACCAGAATCCATGCTCTCCTCCTCTTCCTGGGCCCCAAACCCTCCTCACTGTGGGGTGTGGTCTAGTGATGGAGATCCAGCCAGTGAAATAGGAGAGGTGATGTATGTCACTTTCTGGACTGGCCCATCAACCCCGCCCCATGAGCACTGCTCCAGGGTTTACGCCATCAGCCTAACTGCAGAGGGAGAAGACCCCCAGGGTGACCTTGGATGTCACAGAATGAAGTTGGCAGAGTCATTCTCAGCCTGGCTCTCAGAGTGACTGCACCTGGAGCAATCTCCACTATCCCCCTACACACACACACACACACACACACACACACACACACATATACCCACACACCCTAGGACCTGGAATCATGGTGAATTACTATATGGGCAAGAGGAACTAATTTCCACTGTGTTGAACCATTACATGTGTGGTTCTACTTGTCACTGCAGCCCGGCATATCCTAATACACCCTCATGGCACTCACCACAGTGTATGTAAATACTTTAGCATCTGTCTCTTCAGTAGACTATGGAAGGATAGGAAACGTACCCATCCATCCCTCCACTGTGTCAGGTGTCTAGCACAAAGCATGATGCGCTCCCAGTAAGTAGTCAAATAAACACATACCTGGGAATCTCGTCTATTGCAGGGTGGGGGTGTGGGGTTCCCTTGGTCCCCTCCCTCCAGAAGGGGCCAGTCCTGGAGGGCCAGGAGCACAGGCGAGCACTCACCTTCTTTGCTGACGCCCAGGCAGCCCTTCAGCTCAGGCAGCGAGATGACCTTGTCCTTGTTCAGGTCACAGTAGTCGGTGAAACGCCGGGCGCACTTCTTAGGCTTGGCTTTCTTCTTCACGTAGCGCTTGAAGGGCTTCATCTCGCGCTTGTTGATGTCGCTGCTGCTGTTGCTGTCCAGCTGGCTGAAGTACCAATGCACCACGCGCTCCTCCAGGGTGTGGCTGGGGTCTGGCTCCGAGAACCTGGGCCACGGGCGGACACCCCACCCCCGAGCAGCACTCAGGATCCCGCAGGAACCACCAGCCCCACTGCAAGTCTCTCCCACATGCTCCGGTGCCAAGGGTTGCCGACAGCCAGGTAGAAATGGCTCCTCCAAGCCCAAACCCTCCCAGCCCTGCTCAGCCTGCAGCAGAATCAAGTCACCCTTTTTAACTTCAGCCTCCAGCTGGACAGTTCATTTCTGGGGGGTCCCCAACTAGGTGAACCCACCACACCCTCCACCATAGCTAGGGATGTTCTCATACAACATGGATGCTCAGGACATACCGATTGGATTTCATTCACCTGAGAAAACCACGGGGATCCAAACTGTCCTTCTCCTAGCCTAGTGTTACTGATGCACAAACTGCCGTCACACATGAACTTTTCATCCAAATGAGTGTGACTATGAAGGGAGCTTGGAGCATGTACCAACCACCCAGTGCCCAGGCTGGGTCCCAGGAGGGCTTCCAAAGCAGCAGGAGTAGCCTCTGGCTTCAAACTGTTGTCTTGGCAAGACAGAGTCAAAAAGAGTGAAACCAGACAGCAACAACCCAATGTGAAGGATGAAGTTCCCGTGGGCCATCACTGTCGGGTACCAAGTGTGGTAGGAATTGAGAGAAGGAGGCAATTGAGATGGACACAACAGAGGTTCTATAGCTGGCAAGTCCAGACGTACTAACAGTGAGTCTCTCCACACAGAGGTCTTAAGAGAGGGCAGACCCAGGAAGCCACATGTTAACTCGAACACCTGGGGAATTCTGCTAAGAAGCAGAGTAACCTAGAGTAACCAAGAAAGCTTCCTGGGGGTCGAGATGCATGGTGGTGACTGCATCAAACACGGCCCCTGACTGTAACGTGACAAGAGCAATGCCTACACGTGTAATATACACAAGGTCTACCCATTCATTTTACTTATTCATGCCTCATTTTTTCCCCAAAAGGATTCAGGGTGCTAGGCAATACTGAAAACTTTAAAAGCCAATGATGAGTCTGTTCTAGAGCGGGTGACCGGCCAAGAGAACAGAGCCACACAAGTCCCATGGCTCCTGCTGCCAGGGTTGGCACTGAGTGAATGTGGTCCAGACCCTTGTGTTTAAAGCCCTGGGTAACCTTCCCTCAGTTGGGGGACTGAGGCTGAGGTTGGCCCATCGTCTGCAGGGAACCGGACAGACTACACCAGGGGTGCTACAGCAGGGATTCAGGGCCTGCCAGCACACTCTGAAGCTGTACCTAGCAAGAAAAATATTCAAGGCACTTGCCAATGCCTTGGGGTTCTTCTCTGGAATTTGCCAAGGTTTCCAGGAGGGAAGGGACAACCCTGACCCCTCCCCTATGAATGAGCCAGCAAACTCCCTCCCCACCCCACCCCCAAGTGACCTCACCATTTAGGGAAAAAGAAGTTTCATTACCAAAAAAAGCCAGGCGTCCCTGAATGCCCATTCCTAATTAAGTGGATTATGGTCTTGAGCAGGCCCCACTGGGCACCTTGGACCAGGTCCAAGACAGCACAGTGAGTAGATCAGCCAGCAGGACCTCATCCTGACATGTCTGGAGCAGAGAGTACCTGGGGAAGGTGTGAGGGACCGCCTGCTTCTAGTTTTGGGGAGTCTGCTAGGTCCGTCATAGAAACCAGACTTGGAATGGCTTGCCAACAGGCAGGGCTCAGACTGTCGTCTCTGCCAGCGCTTGGTATTTTGGTGGTTTTGAGCTTCCTCTATTTTCACTGCAACATTCACTCTCGTGCCTGCGGGGCATACACCAGGAGCGCCCAGAAACATCTCTATCAGGATGCTCCTGGAGCAGGAGGGAGAGTGGCCAGCTCCCTTGCAGAGCACGCTGTCGGCCTCCAATTTCCCCAAATGAAGGAGGACCCGGGCCAGGGAGGAGAGCCAGGACGGGCCCCAGGGGAGGCGCTCCAGTTATTCCCCTCCAAGCTTTCTACCGCATCCAGGGCAGGGGCGGGTGGTCAGGGTTTCCCCCTCAGCCCCTCCCTTGAGGGGCCACGAGCGCCCCTGGTGAAGGCAGCTCTTCCTCCAACCTTTAGGCTCAGCATAGCGTCATGTCTACCTAGAGGCTGGAATAATAAAGCCTCAGTCGCTGAGACGGGAAGGGATGAGGTCATCCCACCCAGACGCCCTGCCAGGAGAGGCTCGCTGCCTCCAGCACGTGTTCCTGGGCTCCCGCCTGCCTGCCCGGTTCTCGGCGACTCTGTGACTGGGGCTCCCTGCACCTTCCTTTGGGCTAGCCTGCAGCAAGAAGCAGCTCTTCTCCCCAGGCGACAACCTCTAAGAGTTTCGTCTCAGGCCAGAGAGTGACTGTCACTTGGCTCCTGCTTCTTTTCCCCTCCCTTCCCTGTCTCCCTGGTCTGGAGAGCCAAGTTTCTGCCCTCCTCACTCCCAGCAGCACCTCCCAGCCCAGAGCAGCCACAACTTCGGACAGCTACACCCCTGCCTGTCCCAGCCCCGGCCCCCACTGAGGACACTTGCCCAGGAGAGGTGCTCCGAGGGCCCTCCATGCCTGCCTCTGGCTCCCAGAGCTCTGCTGAAACCCACAGGCTGCCTCTTCCCTCCCTTCTCCCCAGCTGGTGCGAGGCTCTCTGCTTCTGAACTCCTCTGACTTCCAGAACCCATGCTGCATCCTCCCCCAGATAACAGGACCCAGCTCTACATGTACAGCTGGGCAGTGCGAGGGTCCTGCTTTGGAATCCAACCTTTTGTCTAGGCCAAGCTCCAAGTGCATTTAAGGAAAGAATTTCTTAGTTTGGAGGAGATCGTGGACCCTCAGAGAACACAAACAAAGCCACAGTCCCTCTCTCTAAAATGCATGTGCACCCAGAACTCTGCAGATTTTAGGGGTTTAATGGATGCTCCAAACCTCATTCAAGTTAAGAACCCTTGTCTAGAGGGAAAGAGACTCCAGTCATGGCCCTAGAAGAATAAGTATGCACCTTCTGGGAGAAGATGGGATGAGACAAAAAACAGCAATTGGAAGGAGCCTGGGAGTAGTTTTCATGTTTCCAGCAAAGCATAACGAAAAAAAAAAAAAAAAAAGAAGAAAGAAAACTACCAAAGGCATCTAGCTCAAAGCTCCTAAAGTGAGGTCTCTCTGGTTTCGCAGCAGCTTTAAGTCCCCAAACTACCATACTTCATACAAGAACTAGTTAAGAGTGAGACTTATCAGGAGTCCTGATTTAGCCAAACCAGCAGTGGGCATGTGTGAAAGATGGGCACCTCCGTTAGCTGAGGAGAAGCTGGGATTTTCCCAGGGGAGCATGGGGGTGGGGCAAGATGGCCTCCTCCAGAGGCCCCAGGAATCTCTCAACAGTCTTTGCTGGAGTCCTTCCCATCACAGCTAGGCTCCCCACAATTTACCACTGACCTCAAAGCCACACCCCACTGATCCCTCTAGCTCTTGCAGCTTTCTAGCAGTATCCTTTAAAAACACAGGCTACTTGCATTCTCAGTTCCAGGGTTACACTGGAAGGGACTCCGACCTCTCCCATACACGTGCACACAGAAACCCCACTGGGGTCATCAAAGCTGCTCATCGGGCAAGGGCTAAGGACCCAACATTAGAGCCAGTAATGGTTCCTTAGATCACCTAACAGTGACACCCAGGTCCTTGCTATGGGCCTCTCTGCAGGTAAAATTCCACTTCTATTAAAAGGGCTCCTTGGGTGTGCAAAGGATCCCGGTTTTCTTGGTATGGCGTGAAGAGCCAGTAAAATGCTGGTGTCAGCCCTGCCTCTGGGCTTTTGTGGCAGCCGTCCTCAAGCCTCCCGCCTCCAGGGAGAAGGAAAACCACTAGAGCCAGGCCCCTCCCTGGACTGGCCCCACCGAGTCTCTTCTCCCACACTGAGAAGCAGCAGGTGCCGCCCTTCCCCTGCAGCCCTCACTGCATCGCTTCTGCAGCCTCAGCCCGGCCAGGCCTTGGCTGCAATGCACAGCCGGAGAGCCAGCCCCATTTACCACAAGGAAACCGGTGCTGGCCGAGATCTTGGGCCCGATTCTGCTGTCCCAAGCAGTTTTAAACAAGGTGAGGTGGGATGGCCTGGAGGCATGAGCCAAGCCAAGCAGACCAACAGAGCCCCATCTGGAATCGGGTCCAGGCCCCACCAGCTGTGCGGGTGGGTGGGGCTGGGAAATGCCAAGTCAGCCGCATTCTCAGCCTCTTCCTTGCAAGACCATCAACAAGTAACCACACTGGGCAGGAAGGAGGAAGCCGCAAGACAAAGGGCTTCTCCTTGCAGGACCACGTGAGGGGCTGGGAGGCTCATGCAGCTCAGCCTACCTTCTCTCGACGTTGGCTTTTTCTAGGAAGGCTGATCTATGGGGTGGCGGGAGGAGGGCTCTGATTCTTGCAGGAGGAAGGACCAAGAGCATAATTCAATGATCCATCAACCCTTCGCTGAGAAAAGCTATCATCTAATGATACCTGTGGGCTTCCCCTGTAGCTCACGGGTAAAGAAGCCACCTGCAATGCAGGTGTGGGTTCGATCCCTGGGTTGGGAAGGTCCCCTGGAGGAGGGCATGGCAATCCACTCCAGTATTCCTGCCTAGAGGACCCCATGGACAGAGGAGCCTGGAAGGCTACACAGTCCATGGGGTCACCAAGAGTCAGACACACATGCAATGATACCTGCAGGCTGCCCCCTCTCAGGCTCTAGCCACAGATGTTTCCATGGGTACCCCTTTCACTTGGCCTATTTTTTTTTTCACTTGGCCTATTTTTAAATTTGGGCAGCACTGCTTTCCCCCCAAATCAAGCCAGATGCCAGAAAAGGAAGTAGACATCTCTCTTTTCCACTCCCTACATCCAACAAGTCTTCAAATCCTATTGATTTCATTACTTGAACTTCAGTAGATGATCCTACCCCCCACATCTTTAATCCACGCTCTCATCACCTTTCACTCAGATGATGCTGTAACCTTCCTGCCCCATCCAGCATCCCTCCCATCCAGCTCCCATAGGAATGCCCATCTAACCCCATGACTCCCGGCAGCCTCTCTGGCATGAATCACAAGGTCCAGCAGGGTCTGGGCTCTGCCCAACTTTACA